TTTGTCTGGTAGGAAAAGGCAAAGCATCAGCCCTGATGCTGGGAGCCTGAGGCCCAAACCAGCTGATAGTGAGTTGCAAACAAGAACTGCCACCATGCAGTCTTCTTGCCCAGCTGGTCACTGGCCCAGGGGGACTGGCCAGGCTTGTCTTCCTTACATTGCCCCTTAGACCACCAGGCCCAGGCCACTGCTGTTGCTTAACATCCATCCCTTTGCAAAATCCCTCTGAGCCTGTCACCACTCCCCTCCCTTAATCCCTTTCAACCCCAGTATTTTCTTCGGGTTAAAAATAAAAGGTTTAAAAAAGAGAGAAAAAGAGCATTTTAAAACAAAGCATTTATGAAGGCTCAATAAATTGTAAATAATTTTTAAATAAAATAAAAATGCTTTTCCTGGAGTGTGGCCATTTTCCTCAACGCTGGAATCTCCAAGTCTGATTTCTCATTTCATGGAAATGCAGATGGTGGGATTCACAGGTTGTTTCTCTCTCCTGGGCCCACCTGTATGCCTTCCAGGCCAGGTGGGAAGCTGCTCTTAGGTCACAGGAAAGCCGCGGTGCTCTGCTTTGGGAGGCCAGGTGGCAAAGAGTTTGTAGGAACCAAGGTCATGGATGGAAGGTTAAACCCAAATGAGAAGCCAGAGTGTGACCAAGGACAAGGAAGGGCAAGAGAAGCTGGCATTTGTTGAACCCAACTGATGTACTGGCTGGGCACCTTCCAAGTCCAAGGTCATAGGGGTCAGACACTAGCAAGCCTCTGAGACGGCTTGATGGTCACCCTGGCTGACTTCTGCAGACCCCTGGACTCCCGTGATTTCTAACCAAAGGCTGGAGAAGGAACAGGCGTGTGGGCAGGGTTATGGGTCAGTTTTAAACTGGAGCAAGGGGAGCGAACCACAGCCCGGCAGGCAGGTGTGTTTGGGCGTTCATGCCTTTGTTTGTAGAAGGCAGGCTGGAATCTGACACGACTGCTGATTTCTCAAACTAGCACCCAGGACGGTATGTGGCTTAGCGGTATGTGGCTTAGGTCAGAACAATTCAAGAATCTTCCCAGCAGCCTCCTGAGGCTTTTAACTTCGGTTAATAGTAATGGTAATAACAAACAATATAACTATTTCATTAAGGGCTATCTGTGCTAAGTTTTGTGCTAAGTATATATATTCACTGACTTTTTTCTCAAAACCACCTGTGAACCTTTTGCGTCAGTCCCCAAGGGCTTCTGAGTACTCATGAGTTGCTCAAGGTGACTCTACCAGGAAGTGGCAGGGCGGGGAGTGACTGCTGCTTCCTCCTCGTGAGCAGGCCTCTGAACCACAGTGCCCACCAGCCAGGGTGGGGCCCAGGGAAGTCCTTCAGTAAAACAGCCCATGGAACCATCAAGCCCAGATTTCCCAAATTTACACGGGGCTCTTGTTTCATGTGAACATTCTCAGGAAATTAGGGCACACAGGCCAAAATCTAAAAACATGGCAGCTCCTTCTCTAGGGCACTTTGGTTTAAGAAGTGTTTTTAACCACCTTTTCATCATCCCCCACCACCACCTCCCACCAAGAGAAAAATTAAATTTAAACTCTAACGAGACATTACATACTAAGAAGTGATATTCTGTTTCACAGATTTGTGCATTAGAGGGCCACAAACCATTTTAATGTCTTAAGACATTTTTTGCACTCAAGAAGGAATTTCTGCCCTCAGGACATAGCAGCACCTCCTTGAAGGGTCATAGTTGAAAGCTATGCTTGTCTTCCCTAATGCCAAACATCTCTAGATAGGAGAGCGAATATTGACAGAAAGGAAAGCAGAAAGGAAGGTGATACAGCGCTGAGTATCAGACGATATCAGCACTTCAAACCCACTCGGCCACCAGGCCCAATTGCACCCACAGAGCCCCCAGGCCAGTGGGCTCTCCAGCCATTCAATGAAAGACCTGGAACCACACATTCTCTGCAAAAATACTGAAGAATGGGAGGCAAGAGAGAGCCTTTCATGGAAAAAGCAAAACCATAGAATAATAACTACTTTCAAATATTTGGAAGGCCATCAATGCCAAGTGCCAGTAGAACTTATTATGTGGTTAAAGGCAGGAAGAGGCCTGTGGAGTTGGACATATGGAAATCAAATTCTGAATCAAGGTCAAGGTCTTTTGAATGAAGGTGCTCTATCAACAGAATGGAGTACTTAACCACATCATGAAAGAAGCTGCCTCCCTCCCCCATCCCTTGTGGAAATGACAACTTGGAGACAAAGAAGAGTGGCGCTGAGCAGCGGCTGGAGTCACCCTCTTCAAAGATTCCCAACCTCCCCTCAAAATGAGAGGGTTTTACAACAACACAAAGGACCCCAAGGGGTGGATCCTGTTCAGACAGGAAATGGCTTTCGATATTTAAAATGCAAGTAGTAGTCCTTATGTTTTAAGGAATATTCAACTCTTCCTGAGTCTACAAAACCATCATTTGGAAAGTCCCTTGGATTCTGGAAAATGTGCCCAGTATGAAGTGGCTCTAATTGTTTTAATAGACCAGATGTTCTCTGAGTGCAGTGGGGGGAGCTGGTGTTCTAGAACCGAGAAGGATGTCAGTCCCTCCCTGCCTCTGTGAAGTCCCGTCTCTTAATACAAGACGACAGCAGGCCTCTGCGAGATGACCCTCAGAGCCGACAGGGCCTGGTGGCAGGGGAACTCCTGCAGGCAGCAAGTTACAAGAGTTACATTTTAATTTTTCCTTAGCAACAAGTGAATCCTTGTACGGTGCTCATCTTAAGCCAGGAGTGACAGCACATCCGCAGATCAGAAAATCAACTTCCTGGTTCTCAATCAACACTTTAATTTTATTTAGTTGTAGTGAAACAACATGATAGGGCAGAATGGACTGGAACATAACAGAAAGCACTACACACAGCAAGGGCAAACATGTTTCTTAGAACCTTTGCCTAAGCGTGTGTGTGTGTGTGTGTGAGAGAGAGAGAGAGAGAGAATCAATTTCTTAACTCTGTTGCCTGAAAGAAGTCAAGCTGCGGGCTAGGGACACAGCCATGCAGAAGAAGCCGGGTACAGATGCTCAAGGTGGAGGAGACAAGTGTTAATGCCACAGCCAACACTACAATCACACTTGGCTCTTCAGACACCTTGATCTTTGGGACTAGACTGTATGGCATTAAGCCAACATTCCAGCTTCTAAAGCAGAGAAAGACGGGAGGGGGGGAGGGGGGCAAGATTATCTACATCTCATGATCAAAGTACCTTTTAATTCTTAAATAAAAACCTGCATTGCTCTGGCCTCCAAACGGGCTCTAATCCTAGGGCCCTATTTCTCCTCCAGGGATATTCTCTTCATCTGGGCCAGTTTAAACAGAGGCCACCTGTGACAGCAGCCCCGTGGGTCCCTCGGCAGTCTCTAACGCACAATATATACAACTAGGTCTGTGCAGGCAGGGGACACGCAGGGCAAAGGACCGCTCTGGTGCTGCTGGTGGGGCGGCGCTTCCTCACTGGACCTTGGTGACCGCCTCGTGGATGGAGGAGGCCACGTAATCTATGTTCTTGGTGGTTAAGCCGCACATGTTGATCCGACCGCTGGGCAGAAGGTAGATGTGCTTCTCGTTGACCAGATACTCCACCTGTTTGGCTGTTGAAAACCAAAAGAGGTATAAATGGACCAGGAATCACTGCAGAAATGCAAGTGCAGAGTCTCCAGGATAACAACAGCTGCCTTCTTTCCCTTCAGCGTGGAGGAGCAAAACAGAAGGAGCCAGGTTTCCAGCTGACATATGGGGAACCACAGCACAACTGATTCTGGAAAATATACTTGGCGGCTAAGTTCCTGATGCCAGACAGCTCCCTGGGGCTCCGGCTAGGCTGGAAGCACCTCCCAGCCAGACCTCGCATGACAAGCACTGGGACAGCCCACAGAATATTCCAGCGACGTGGAAGGCTGGTGACTAAGGACCTCCTTACGCTCTTCCTTAACCTGTCCTGCTTATTCCCTTTGACACTTCATTTTCAGAATACAGAGGACAAGGCCTGTGCCTGAGAGGTGCTGAGTAAACTGTGCGTGAACCCCAGGCTGAAAATCCACGGCGACCCCAGGACCTGCCGCTTCTTGGCTTGCTCGTTCAGACGCACGCAGGGGCGCGCTGTGTGTTGCTGAAATGTTCCTGCACGGAGCAGGAAGAGCTGCCTGTACTTCATTTACGCCACAATCGCTAGAATTGTTGTTTGTTTGTTTTTTGCTTTATTGCAAATCCATGACAAAATTTCAGCTGGTTTTTGTTTCATTACAATCAGTTTGAGGGGGTAGGATAATTAATGACATATAAATTTAACGGGTAAATTTAAAACTTTATCTGAAACCATAAAATGAGAAAAAAAACAATTGTTATATGCTAGGTGTTTATGTTCCTCCAAAATTCATGTGTTGAAACCGGACATGTGACTGTCTCAGGAGGTAGGTGTTTGGCAGGTAATTCGGTTTATTTGGGTAAAGTAGAGGCCCGAGTGGGATACTACCCTTCTAAGAGACGTCTCTCGCTTTCTTCCTCCCCCTCCCCCCTCCACTCCCACTATGCCACAGTCTTGTTTCTCTGCTTTATTGCAAATCCACCAGGCAGATCAGCAAAGACAGCCACCTGCCAGTCAGAGTCCTCACAGAACCTGCTGGACCCTGATATCAGACTTCCCTGCCTCAGAACTGTGAGAAATTTCTGTTTAAGTCACCAGTCTGTGGTTCTTATAGTGACCCAAGTTGAATAAAAGCAATGAAAGAATAATATCCAGAGACACAAACGCCATGTGCTGGACAGAGTTCTAGCACTCTAACTTATAAACTCAGTGCATCTTGTCATCACCTGTTATCAGCCCCATTTTACTGAAGGGGCAGAGGGAAGTTAAATGACGGGGCCACACAGTTCTGTCAGTGATGGACCTGGGATTTTTTTTTCTAAAGTTTTATTTATTTATTCATACAAGAACTGAGGTACAGGCCAGAGGTTCAGGGAGTGAGAGTATTCACCAGAGACAGAGTGAGGAGCAGAACAGGGAGAGCTGCTCAAATACACTGCTGAGGGGAGCAGCAGGTGGGTCAGGAGAGGTCTGCTGCGCCATAGTGCACAGCACTATGAAGCTACCTGCAGCCCCTGCAGCACAAGTTCTATCCCCAGCCAGGGAGTGCGCCCACAGGGCGGCAGACCTCTCCTGTCTTGCCCGCTGTGCCCTCAGCAGTGTACGTCAGTCAATCTACCTGTTCTTCACCACACTCTGTCTCTGGTGAATCCTCTCACACACACACCCATACCTCTGATTATAGCCCAGATCTTGTATGTATAAATAAATCAATCTTAAAAAAAGAAAGAATGCTCTTACTATTCAAGTGAATTAATTCTCCATTCCAGAGTCAAGAAGACACCTACAGCTAGTTGATCTAGCCCTTTACTGTTCTGGACACTAACCCTTACTCCAGAGCATGAAGCTGAGTGGTGATGCCGCACCACGTGCCTAGTGGGCAGCAGGCGCCGGGAGTTGCTATTATGTGAAGGTAACAGTAGAGGCCAAATATTTGCCCCAGTGACAGCTGACTAAGACCTCGGTGGCTGCCCACTAGATTCTCAATGGGCTGTTTACCCTGCTGCCAATTCCAGCCATTTATAAAATAGAGAGATGACTTTACAATGTCTGTTTGAGGACAACACCTGGAGACTATAAAAACCCCATGAAGAAAGAAGATCCCTGAATAATCATAGGTAACAGTCCGACTTAGGATTAAGGAAAAGCCAAAAGCAAAGTCAAGGCTCCAAGCCGCAAGTCCCATCACCTCCCAGCTGGCTCTGACCCCTTCCCAGTCCACACAAAATAAAAATGACTGAGCTCTGAGCGAGCAGGGCAGATGCGATAACACTCTCGGAGAGTTGTGGGGTCAGGAGACCGGTGGGACTGACAAGTTCTGGCCCCAAGTCAGGGCTGACCATCTGGGAGACAGAGAATGCAGCCGCACCCCAGAGGGCCTGGGGGCAGGGGCCAACTGCCCAGAGACCCTGAGGTGTAGGGACCACTTACGGTTCAAGCCTGTGAAGCTGAACATCCCAATTTGCTCGGTGATGTGGCTCCAGGTGCCAGGGGTCTTGAGGGCCTCTAACCGTGACCTGAGTTCAGACCTCATAGTCAGGATGCGGTCGGCCATTGTCTTCACGTTGCCCTTCCTGAAGGGAGAGCGGTATGGGTATCAGTTCAGAGGAGAAGACACGCAGGCTGAGATAAAAAACAAGACGATGACCTGCTCAACATGGAAGGGGGCGGAGGGTGCCTGGACGGTGGGTTAACAAACCGACAGAGATACAGACCAGGCAGAAGCAACGAGTGTCTTTACTAAGGTGTGTAGAGTGTCTGGGGCACACCGCCTGCAATGACACTCAGGTTTCGTGGAGGTACTGACAGGATGCTTTGTCAGGCCTAAGGAAGCAGAGATTCCAGATAGAACTACTTTGTAAAAATCCCAGTTTCAAAGTAAGTGAATCAGAGAGAATGAATGAAGCACCCCACACTGTCACATGGGCTTGAGTTGGATGTTCTTTCAGAGTTCCTTCCTGTGTTCCCCAACTTTTAGGGAGGGAGCCTGGTGGTGACAAGCACGGGAAGCTGCCGCTCCCCAGGGCCTCTCCCACATCCCCTCTGTGGGGCAGGGGTGTCTACACACGGGAATAGGTAGCAGCCCTAGTGACAAACGTGTGATGTTCTAAGGTGTGGGGGTAATTCAGTGTGGCCGCTGCCTGCATGAAAGCGCATCAGTGCCGTGAACGGCACGAAGGCCTTCCACACCCCGCCCTTGCCCGCCAGGCCCTGGCCCCTTACCATTCCCTTGCCCGCCAGGCCCTGGCCCCTTACCATTCCTTAAAAAGCTCAGGGGTCGAGAGGGTACAGGCCACGATCCGCGCGCCCTGCGCAGGGGGGTTGGACCAAGTAATCCGCACAATCTTCTCCATCTGGGAAAGGACCCGCAGGATGCTGTCGCTTTCTTTGGAAACCACGGTCAGATTCCCCACTCGCTCATCTAAAGAGAGGGATGAGAGTCGGTCCTGGAGGCCCTGATGGGGGCGAGGAAGGAGTGGGCTGTCGCTCAGGGGAGCACTCACTGTAGAGCCCGAAGTTCTTGGAGAAGGACTGGGCACAGAAGAGCTCGAATCCTTCAGACACAAAATAGCGAACGGCCCAGGCATCTTTCTCTAGGTCTCCAGAGGCGAAGCCCTGATAGGCTGAGTCAAAGAAGGGGAACAGAAACCGGCGCTGCGAGGAAGGAAAGTGGGTCAGGGCAGGAAGTCCTTCCGGAGCCAGACTCAGACTGGCTTTCCTTCCTCATCCAGCCCTGGAAGGAGTCCCAACACTGTCTGCTTCTCTTAACTCTCTTCTTTCTGCACCCAGCTACTACCCTACATGTGTTTCTCTATCCAGCTAAATAGTAACCAGCAGGTCTAACCATCTTAATCAGGTTGTTGGGAAGTATATTGTCCAGAGATGCCGCTTCACCAGCTGGGCTTCTTTGTGAGGCATGGAAATCATCTCTACATTGGTCGATTCTTCCCCATGAATTCCCGGTGAGATTAGCTTAATGAAGTCCACACTCGGTATCCCCAGGGCCTAGTCACAAGCTCAGGGCCATTCTGCATACTCCTGACAAAGGAGATAGCATAGACTGTTCTGATCACTCCATCTTCCTCAGAGAGCTCCCACCAGCTTGAACTAGCTGCTCCTCCTAGACTCCTTCACTTCCCTGCTCCCAATGCCCAGGCCAGAGAACGGTTCCATGCAGTTTATCCTGCACCGGTCCTATCACGCATCTTTCCAAAGAGCTCTAGACCCTTTTACCTTGGCCACTGCCACCTACTTCATTCAGGCCACGATCAACCCCCACCTGGTTCATGACACAGAACGCCCAAGTGTTCCCCCAGCCTATCCAGTCCCACCTCCCTCTGATCCCTCCCCAGATGCAGTCAGGGGTGACGCAAGACAATGCACATGCAGTTGTGCCCTGTCACTGACAGATCTGAGGGCTCCCACTGCCCTCAGATATAGTTCACTGTCTCAGCACAGGACCCAGCCCCTCTAGCCTCATCCTGCACATTTACCGAACTCCCTTGGGCCTCTAGGCCACAGCAACAATCGGGCCACATGACCTGCCACCCCCAGCTGTCTTCATCCTTCAATCTCAATATGGAAACCACTTCTTCCAGGAAAGCACCTTCTGCCCCTACCATCACCCTCTAACACACACATCCTCCCCCAAATTCTGGGCCTCCAGATTTTGTGTGTACCTCTATGTTACTCCAGCAACAGAGCTGTGCCACAGGATTTAGCTGTCTCCCCACGCCAGCTGTGTGATCTCTGCAGGCAGGGACCAACACTGCTTTGCTCACTACTGTGCCTCTCCTCATGGAGCCTGGCAACACAGCTTCTCCGTAGGTTTCCCTTAAACGTATTAACAAATGGCAAATGCCTGTGCTCCGAGCTAGAACTCCTAATCTAGGAAGTTATCCCAAAGACCAATAAAAAGGAGTTCTATAGCATCACTATTTACAAGAACAAGAAACCAGAGAGCTAAATGGATTGAGTTAATCAATCTCAAAGGGAAATGTCCATGAAAAGCAATGTCACTGGCCATTTAATGCCATGTAAATGGCTCAAGTGAAAAGCAAAGAATGCTACAAATAGCAGAAACAAAACAATTCCATAAAATAAATACATCTGAGTCACTACACTAAACAAAAGACCAATAGATGGCTATTCTGTATTTCAAAATGTCAACAATGGCTTTCTTTGGGCATGAGGACTTACAGTTCATCTTTATTTCCTTCTTTGGGCTTTTCTCCATTTTTCAACTTGTTCACAACGCAGGTACTGCTTTGGAACCACTAATAACAGAGGTGCTCTGAAAAGGCAGTTACCTTCATGATGGAGGCGATCTTCTTCCACTGCTCCGGGGTGGGGTCAGTCCCGGTGGGGTTGTGTGCGCAGGCGTGGAGGACAAAGATGGAGAACTCGGGAGCATTCTGAGGAGAAGGGAGCTGTGTCAGCTCTGCCACAAGCAGGAATGTGAGGGACAGTGTCAGGGGCTGAGGTCAGGGCACCTGGTACCCACATAAGTGCTCGTTCAGAAACCACCACCTGGCTTGGGAACGATGCCTCACACCGTCTCAACTATCAGCAGATCCAGACACTTTCCCATGTTGTGCCTGACACCACAGGGCTCCATTTACTCTTCTTTAGTCACCTACCTCCAGATCACTCAGGAGGCCCTCAAGGTCAAGCCCTCTATTCGCTGCATCCCAGTAGTGGTAGGGCCGAATGTCTTTAAATCCAGCAGCAGCAAACACAGCATTATGGTTCTCTGTAAGCAAAGGGGTGAAACGGTCAAGGCCTTTACTAACTCAAGGAGGCATGATTGGAAAGAACCCAAGTCAGCTTCTAGACCCTCACAGAGTCACCAGCCCCTGGGTGACAGCGAGGTGAGGGGTCAGGTTTAGAATACTCGCCATCAAGAACAAGTTCCACCAGCCGTATTCATGTGAAATGTAGATCCCACGACAGCGGGACTTCCCGCATCTACACTTTATGGCTTCTCTGGGGAGCTTCAACATCTATTGGAACCCAAGTCTACCAAGTAGCTTGGGAAAAGTATCCCAAATCTGAACTCAAATCTCGGGCTCCACTCAGACTGCCACCATGCAGTGATCGAGCCGTAAGGCGCCAGCTAATCCAGGACAGGGTTGCCTTTCCTGTGTGAGTGGCACAAGTCGCGAGGAGCATTTCCCCAGCTTGCTTCTCCTCACACGATGGCTCGGGCACTCACCCCAGGTTGGTGAGGACACATAGACGGGCGTGTCCTTGTTGTTCGTGCCATTGTACCACCGCGCGAGGAACTCGGCCCCAATTCGAAGTGCGCCCGTTCCCCCCAAAGACTGCACTCCTCCCACCTGAAACAGAAGAAGCGGGGTTACTAGTGATGATGCTGATGGCAGATAATATTAGGGAAAATACAGTAATAGTGAGGACCTACTTCGTGCTGCTGTGTCATACCCTTCAAATATACCATCTCACCAAAACCTCATAACTACATGAAAAAATGCCATTAATTTCCTGTGTTCGCACATGAGGAAACTGAGGCTGAGAGAATTACCAGCTCTGAGCAGCAGGGCTGGCTCTTCAACCCAGGACGTCTGGCTCTGGGGGGAGCCTCCCTTCTGAACGCACAATTCAAGGACATCCCAGGCCGCACTGGGGTACCACCTGCAAGGCAAGCCCAGCCTTCTGTACCCATCCCAAGGTCAAATCTGTCTGACAGAAGCCTGTGAAGGAGTGTTCGGGGGGGGGGGGATTATAGGGGGGCACCCACCCAGGACTCCCCCCCCAAACAACTCCACCCTACTCTCTCTGTCCTGCCTGTGATACTTTGATTTTATCCTTTCACAACTCTAAGGAGGTTTCAGCGTCTCTTTCGATAGAAAAACGTCATACATCACATACTGCTTCATATGTCACAAGGATTAAAGAGAAACAGATCACAGGAGAAAGTCTAGCTGAATGAAAGAGCATGTGGCAGTCTGATAACAGTGGCGGCCTCTGCAGATGCAGGAACAGGGCTCAAAGTCTCTAAGGTTGCTTTTTTAAAATGAGAAGAATGCATTCATACATTAAGTGTAAATTTCAAAAATGAAGTTTTAAATACATTGAAATGTCTGGAACTTGCTATAAAGTAAGTTAGCTTGGGCAGGGGAACAGGAATACACAAGTCTGGGTCACAGACAGATAATTGTTGAAGGGAGGTGATGGGGTATACATCATTCATTAGTCCATTTTATCTACTTTTATGTATATTTGAAATTTTTCATAATAAAAGGGGTTTAAAACAATAAAGAAATTTGCAAAATCTTGTTAAAACCAGATTTTGCTAGTGCACAGGATTATGGTGATGGCACACGGGTGACTTGGTGATGGGAAACCCGCGGGGATTACAATTGAGATGGAAAAAAAAAATGTAAAAATGATGTAAAAATAAACTGTTATAAAATTAAAAATAATAATAAATAAAAAACAGATTTTGCTTAAAGGAAACAAACAATAGAAAAAAGCAAGAGAACTAGTTTTTTCATGAATATTGCTACAACCTGTCCAAAGAAACATTAATGAGCAGCATGAATTCAACAGAACATTAAAAAATACCCCCGGTATGATTTGGTGATGGGAAACCCGTGGGGATTACAATCGAGATGGAAAAAAAAAATGTGCAAAATGATGTAAAAATAAACTTTGTAATAAAAAAAATAAAAAAATAAAGAGTGGCAAACTAAAAAAAAAAAAAAAAACCCCTGGTAGCACAAAGGGTTAAAGCACAGCACTGTGAACCTAGCGACTTTGCCAGTTGAATCCACACCAGAGAGTTGACCCACACGGCACAGCAGCCCTCTCCTGACCTGTCCACTGCTCCCCTCAGCAGTGTTTCAGTCCATCTGCCTGTTCTACTTCCCACACTGTCTCTGGTGAATCCTCTCTCTATCTCTGCACTTCTGGCCTGTACCCCAGTTCTGTATGCATAAGTAAAAAACTCTTTAAAAAAAAAAAAACTGGTAACATCAGGATCCTCCTAGCAACGCAAGATCACTAAGAAATGCATCCTGCTAGAGAGGAAAGCAAACGCCCTTAACAGATGAGAAAAGCAGAGCCATCCTGACACAGATGCTCAGTGGAACAGAAAACAATGGACACGTCCTGAAAACAAAGCAAAATATCATTCAACCTGTAAGTCAGCCTCATGATGAACAATGAATTATTGGCAGAAGTCCCTTTATAAGTCAGCATCAAGGCAACGGCACCAACATCACCCTCTTCTCCCCGACGGTCCTCATGTTCTGAGAGCTGGATATTGTCTGACGTGTCACGGAAGGATAGAAGGTAGAGCAGCTGCCACCACAGGTGGGAGCGGAGGCCGCGGAGGGCTGAGCGGTGAGCACCGGGCAGGCTCAGGGTGCTGACTCTCCTGTCCCCACAGGGACTCCATGGGCACAGATCTGCCTCCACATTATGCAAATCATTACCAGGATTGTATAACCCAAATGCGCATTCACATTTCATGGGTCTGTCTTATAGCTAAGCTGAATGTCAACTTTACACACTTGCTCCCATTTCAGATCTACAAGCATTCTGGAGTGTTAGTGCTTCCTGTACAGTGCACGAGGTTTTCCTAAGCATGGTTTTAAGTTATCATGGACACCAGACAGGTGCACAGGGACACTGGTGAAAGCCTTCCCGGACTATTTTTTTATTTCCTGCACTCAGTCTTTAACGCCATCTTATCTCTTCCACTTTAGGAAATAAATTCGTAAGTTAAAACAAGTTGGAAGGCCGGTAGACTCCACTAATAATGAGATAAACATGACATTCACAAAGCACATGACCCTTGAAAGATCAATTTCTCAAGCAACTAACACTCCCTAAAAACATATTGAAGACTAGATGGCTTCAGTGAAACTCAAATTGCTCCAAACTATATCAGCAGTGAACAGGGACACAATATTGCAGCAATTGGGTCACTGTGTGAAGTAAATTGAGTAGATTGCGCTAGTGCTCAAGGGAAGTCCTGTTTGGAATGAAGGAGACTCGTACTGTCAAAGGAAGTAAGCACAGACTTCTGTGAAGATTACACTGGATATTTGGTCCAGATCCTAAGGTCTGAAAATAAACACTAGTCTGAGGCAGTGAGGAGGCCGGAAAATCGACCTCCTCCAAATGGTTGATGGACCTGGTTGTGCTAAATCTTGAGAAAACAGTCAGCAGGAAGGCACGGTGTTTGATTTCTGGTTCATGTATTCTTTCATTCTTCCTCTCCAAAGTTTTGGACTGTCACTTCCGAGCTGTCACCGCCCTCCCGCCCGCCCCAGCACTCCCCCAGGATGCCTCCCCATGCTGTGCCACAGCAGTGATTACCATTTACTATATACACCCTGCCACTTCTCATTCTTGTTTCTTCCCATGGACAGCAAGGCAGGCAGAGGATGTCTGAGTTTCGGTCACTCCTCTGTTCCTCCTTCTACAACAGCACCCAGCCCGGCATGGTGGTGAGCATGTGCCTGCTGAACATGGGAGAAGCTCTGGCGTGCCCGTAGCTAAATGCTAGAGATTCAAGTGAGCCATGGTTCCTATCTGGGGAGGGTTGGGGGGGGGGACAAGCTTGTGAGGTCACACGGCCCAGTGAGCACAGCGAGGACTGTTACTGCCAGGCTGTGGACAAAGTCCTGGGGTGACTGAGAGGGCTGGGACAGCTACCTATGCCAGAGAGAGCAAAGGGTTCGGCACAGAGGTGACCCTTGAATGGGCGCTGGACTCAGGTGGAGGCTGGAGTGAGAAAAGTGTGTGCGGCCGGGGGGCATTTCCAGCAGAGGGAAGAGCAGCGACAAAGTCTCTACATCACGACAGGGCCTGGCATAGAGACAACAGCGGGTTCAGCAGGACCCCGGGACCAGGGTGTAGTGGTCACTGGAAGAATAGGATGAAGGTCAGGAACAAAGTGCTACACGCCCAGTTCAAAGTCTAGATAATGAAGGAGCAGCTGGGGGAGGGGACAGAGGAACAGGGAACATGACTTGATTAGCATTGTTTTTGCTAAGGAGGATCAGCCTAGCTGAGCAGGGCAGGATGTACTGGAATGGGGAAGAGACAAGAGGCCAGAGGTTATTACAAGGATCCAAATGAGATGATGGTGGGCTGGACTAAGACAACAGCCTGGGGAGAGTGACGATGTCCAGGGAAAGAGGAGAGGTGAGCGTTCATATTACCTAGTCCTCAAGGTAATATGGATGCCAGAAGGGTGTCCTATAGTATTTAAAAAAAAAACATTGGCCCTCCCTGGTGGCGCAGCGGGTTAAAGCACAGCACTGAGAATCTAAAGCCGCTTCCCCATGAGTTCGATTCCCGCCTGCCCCGGAGGTGACCACATGGCGTGGCAGACCTCTCCTGACCCGCCCGCTGCTCCCCTGAGCAGTGTACTTTGTCGATCTGCCTGTTCTGCTCCCCGCTCTGTCTCTGGTGAATCCTCTCACCCTCCGCATCTCTGGCCTGTACCCCAGTTCTGTATGAATAAATAAATAAATCTTTAAAAAAAAATAAAAAATAAAATAAAAAAAAAAAACATTTACAGGCTACTACAAAGACTGCTGTTTAAATTTGTTCTATGGTGACACATACAAGGACTGAGAGAGAGGACTCTGTTCCATAAGCAACAGCCACAAGTCTTACAAAATGCAGTGAGTGCTGGGCAGAACAGACATCTGCCGTTGACAGTGACTGTCAGGGTGCACAGCCTGAGAGGAAAATGTGCCCCTCCAGGGAGCCTGTTTCCTCTGTCCACAGGATCACCAGTAACCTCGCACAGCCCGCAGCAGACAGCGCCGGCTGCCAGTCCCCCACAGTCCGTTCTTCAGGTCTCTTCCTTTCCCTCTGTTGGAAACGCCAAACTTTCCGAGTAATGTGCCAGCACCAGCCGTGATCTCTACTCTGCCGCTTCTATCTGTATTCCCCCAGCTCCTCCAGTTCCGCAGCCTCTCAATCCAATCCAGACAAGACCGTAATTCGCTGCCTAACGTTGACCTGAGTCCCAAGGCCTGCACCCTGCGCCCTGCCGCCTGCCTGTGCATGTCAGCATGAGCCATGAGCAGCCTTCATCTGACCCTGCTGTTCTGCTGTCAGGGATCTGGGCAACAGCCTGTGGGCAATGAAACAGACGACTTCACCCGGGCCCAGGAGCCGCAGGGCAGCTGGCTTCAATTGCACAATGCCTAGGTGGACTATTGCAAAAAGCTGGATTCTTCACCTTTCTACTCTTCCAGCCAGATTTATCTTCTTCAAACATCACTTGATTGGGTAACTCCTCTGTGCAAAACTTCCATGGCTTCCCCTGCCCTGCCTGCCAATGTCAGCCAGCTTGAGCTCCCAACATCCAGGCAGGCACATCAGGTGGGCCTCATTACCAGCTAGACTTGCTTTGACCTGGCTCTGGCCCTGGAGTCCTGCTTGAGACAAATGTCCCTCCTTTTTCCTTCCTGTGTACTCTGTAGTTCTCAGCCCAAGCTGTACTTTGAAATCACCTGGGAACTTTTAAAAAAATGCCCACGGAGGGAAAGAAATTGGCAGGGAAGGGTGGTACCCTGTAAGATTCAGACTGACTGAACTGACCTGGCAGTGGGGTCTAATGATCAGTACGCTTTCAAAAACACCCCGTGATAGTAACGTGCAGCCAGAACTGAGAAACAGCTAGCTTAAGTCCCACCTCCAGCCCTCTCCAGTCTCCCTCCCTCAGAATCCCTCCCACAGTGCTAGAATCCTCCATCCCACTCCCTGCCACAAGGTGCCCTCTCGCAGTTTCTGTTTCTGCTCCAGTGTGCGCTTCCTTGTGCCTCTAGTCACACAAGCCTACTTATCGGAGGCCTTTAAATGAGAGAAGCTGCCACAGGGGCTTGAAGAACTAGAGTGTCAGAACTGGCAGGCACTTCAGAGGGCAACTAGACAGGAGGTGCTTGAACACTGGGGAGGTGGGGGGGCGGGCAGACTACTTTTGAAAACCTGGCAAAACCATGAATCTCCTCCCTGGAAGTTCACATGCACAAAGAATTCTGCATAAAAATCAGGGAGCCCAGAAGCACCTGAAATGATCCATATTCAGGTGTTCCTATGACCCATGAACCACACTGGTCTTTTCCTACCACGTGGATGAGATGCAGGGGTTTTAGGGGGCAATGCCAATGGTCAAGGCAGTGGCAGAGCTGGGTCCAGATCCTGAACTCTCATCCATGCCACTAAATGCCCTTGGTTTGGCATCGCCATTACCGCTCCAGACCCAGCACCTGGAGATCTGGGCAAAATGAACCATATCAGAGATGCCACCCTCTGCATCTGGGTGGCCATGTGGTGTGCATTATAGGGGTTCATGGTTCCCACCACTTAAAGCGCCTTCACGAACACTTCAATAATCATCATATCTAGTACTTTAAACAAGTGGAATTTTGACCTTTTTTCTGTTTTGTACTTTCACAGTTGCTAAAGAGATACTCACCCGATTCTCCTTGATGGCTGGGCTGTCCTCCCCAAGGGCAATGCGGGAAGCGCAGGTCCGGAACTCAGCCAGGCCCAGGATGGGCAGATACTCGTGGTTTAAGCTATTGTCATTCGCTATCTTCTGCTCCACCTTCCTCACCACAGGCAGAACCCAGGGCTGGCAATCATCCGTACGATATGCTAGAACATGGGATAGAGTTGTATAACAAAGGAGTCTTAGTCTTTGTTCAAATAAGAGTTTGGAACTGTGAACAGAAAGTTCTACCACCTTCTAATCAAAGCAGAACTGTGAGGGAAGTTAAAATCAAGTTCACTCACTCATTAGACTCTGCCTGTGCCAGGCCAGGCCCGAGGCTAGGTACCAGGCAAACAGAAGGACAGACATGGCTCCCATCCTTTCAGGACTTAAACTCTTAAACCCCTGACTGCCAAAAAGCAGAATGCTGAGGAAAAACTGGACTGTCACAGAGTGGTATCAAGTAAGAACACATTTTGCAAAAGCACTCTGCAAACCACAGAAGATCTAACAAGTATCCCTCCAATATTACTATATGCTGAGATCTCCACTGTCCCAGCAATATTCTTCCTCCTGCATCTCACTGAGAGATTTCCCCAAAAAGGTGAGGTACTACACCTTAAAACAAACATAGGGGGTGGAAGATCTATTTCCTCCTGGAACAAAAGGTGAGCAAATGTCCTGTGGCTGAAGATTCCAACCAGCTACACCCACTTAAACACCGCTTTGTCCTCTCTGTGTCTGACATCAGCCAGTGCTTACCATGTTGACTGCTCCTCCCACTTTATCTGCTTCAGACTTATACTGATCTAAGTTTATTTCATCATCTTGCTTACAGCAAATTTCTAAGCATTTCTCCCATGCTGAAAGTATTTCTTAGTCTAGTTTGAGTTCTCCTACCCCTGATTTCTTTTTTCCTGTACTACCCTGTGATAAATTTAGGATTATGGCTATAAAGGGCAGCTGCCCTGGCAGGCACAGAAGACTAGTTCTCTGACTAAGATCCTGACAAAGGTCATCTGCCTCTGCTTGAGAAAGATCTCCAACAATCTTATGCTTTTGCAAGACACTTTGAAATGAAAATTTTTAGAGTGATTCTGGTTAATTTTATCTAGTTAATTTCTGTTCAACATTAATTCCTGCGTTTTGTTAAAAAAAAAAGCAAACCCACCTTATTAATGTCACATGAACAACACAAGTTAATTACAGAAAATTTAGAAAAGCCCAGAAAGTGAACATTATGATTAACTCCAGCATTCATTTTGGTGTACAACCTTCCAAGCTTTACCTACCATGACTATATTCTTTTATAAAATATGCATGCTCTGATGGGAAACCCAAGGGGATTGCAACTGAGATGGGAAAATGTGCAAAAATATGTAAAAACAAACTATTATAAAATTTTCAAAAAACAAAAAAATATACATTCTATTATATGCTCAATTTTCATTCAACATGCTTTTTTCCTTTTAAATATGTATCACGGGCCCTCCCTGGTGGCGCAGCGGGTTAAAGCACAGCACAGAGAAGCCACTTCCGCATAAGTTCGATCCCCGCCTGCCCCGGAGGTGAGCACATGGCTCAGCAGACCTCTCCTGACCGGCCCACTGCTCCCCTCAGCAGTGTACTTCATTGATCTGCCTGTTCTGCTCCCCACTCTGTCTCTGGTGAAGCCTCTCACCCTCTGCATCTCTGGCCTGCACCCCAGTTCTGTACGAATAAATAAATAAATCTTTAAAAAATAAATAAATAAATATGTATCACAATTATTTTCATTAGTCTTCTAATAAGTGATACAGTCACATGTTCCAGCCCGGCCTGACCCTCCATTTACCTCATTCCATTCCTTTCCCATCATAAATAACTGCTCTCTTTATCCTTCCAGAATCTTGGCTTCTCATCTTTCCACCCAACCCCGCCCCGCCTTTACACAAAAGGTATAGTATACCATATGTTGTTTTGTTCCTTGCTTGTTTGGGTTGAAGATCTTTTTATATCTGTGCCTGTGTCCTTGTTCTTTTTTACAGCTGTAGAGCTGATGAATGTACTATAATTAATTTTGCCACTCTCTTGCTGATGGACTTTTGAGTAGTTTCCAATCTTTGGCCATTATGAAATGATACTTCAGTGAACAACCTGTGAATCTGTCATCTCACCTGTGTGCAAGGCTGAAAATGGAAGAGTGGGCAGAGAAGTATTATATTTTTAGCTTTGACAGATGTTCCGATCTGGCTTTCATAGGGATTTTATTAGTTCACATTCTTGCCAACAACATGCCAGAGTTGTCTAGGTCCCCTCAGTCATTTGAGTGAATTTATGCCAACATTAGGGATAAATGGTATCTCAAGATAGCCCTAATTTGCAATTCTCTTATTATTAATGCAATTGAGCACTTTTCACAAATATGAATCATTTACAACATTTTAGTTTCTAGACAATATTCTCTCTATATATCATTTTTTATGCTTTCAATTATTTGCTGTAATAAACATTGCAAAGAAGTTTCTTAAAACTTTGCCCACATTCATGTGTGTTTCCTTGAAAAACACTTCTAGATCTAAAATCAGGATAACAAATAGCTTTATAAGACTTTATTTTGAATTTGTGTGGGTCTTCTACTAGCCAACTCCAGAGATGTAATCTGAAAACCAGATAAGCATTTCAAACTATTACCATAAATGTGGGCAGGACTCTAGACGGACATAGTCACTGAACAATCAACAGCCTCTGAGTCAGTGGCTCTAATTTTCAGTGCTGTGATGTGACCCAGCTTACTGCCACCCCCACTCCCACCCACTAAACCAATTCCCTTTATCGGGTTTGAAACCCTACTTTACCAGGTGGGGTTTGGTCTGGTTTTTTAAAGACGACTTCCAAGAGTCATTCCTGAAGTGATCTCCCTATCTATGATTACAATGCTATCATTGTTCAGAATGTTCTTGGAATTTTCTTGAAACTATTTTTTTTAAAGATTTATTTACTGATGCATACAGGATGGGGGTACAGGCAGAGGTGCATGGGCAGTGAGAGGTTTCACCAGAGACGGAGTGGGGAGCAGAACAGGCTGACTGATGAAGTACACTGCTGAGGGGAGCAGCAGGCAGGCCAGGAGAGGTCTCACCCCCGGGCTGGGGATGGAACTCATGCTGAAGTGGCTTTAGTTTTTAGTGCTGTGCTGTAACCCACTGTACCACCAGGGAGGGGCCTCTCTTGAAACTACTGGAGGTGAATTTGTCATTATTTTGAATATCCACTATAGTGACAAATCTTTGTCCTTTGAAGGTAAAATTAATTTTTGGAAATAGTGTTTGCATCATGCCCAGCAAAGTGGGTGGATGAATTAACTGTACAGTATAAATGGGGGGACATTAGTAAAAGATCTCATTTAGGTGAGATGTGAATCTCGCCTACTTTCAACACCATTCCAAAGGAGGGTTCCCAGAAATCTGTGAGCCACAGAGGTAGAGAGGGACCATATCTACAGAAAGGGTACCATTTATATGTATATGACTTTGGGTATTTGTAGAAAAATCAGTTCTATTATACTTCACATGTATATTTGGGTTTTTATATTACAGTATATATATACTTCTAATAATGTATTTATAAATCAGTATTAAAATAAAATATGAATTTTTTTTAAGCCATTGTGCCACTGTTCTGACCAGTACTGTGTATTCTGTGCAACTCTAAAGAAGCCCTGTAATACAACAGAAGGCAGGCAGGCAACCTTGACAATTTATATCTTCCCTTCCTTTGTTACTGCTTAGTCTCCACCAGGTTCAGTTCCAGATTTATTCCCAGTGTCTGACCCAAGTGCCCTAATCAAGCAGAACTGCAGATTGCTCTGGGAGGTGGGTGCAGGAGGTCAGACCCTCCCAGGGGATTTTTCACATCTGCCAGTGGGACCCATGAGTTTCTCAATCATCTTTCATTCACTCATTCATTCAAGAAAGACCTAATAAATCTATCCAGAGTCTTGACAGCTTGGAGATCTTCCAGAACTGACTGGTGGTAGCTACACAGACTTAAGTAAGAAAAAAAACTTCTCCAGGAAATAAGACTATGGAGCCCTGATTCTTCTTTGAGGGGTTAGGGAAGATTTTACCAAGGATCGAGTGTGAGAGACTTTAAAAGGAAGACCAGGGAAGAAGGACACTCCAGAGAGAGGGGACACTGTGCAAACTCCCAGAGGTTTGAAGAGAAGGGTTTCTGAGGGTATGTATTTTCTTTTTTTTTAGATTGATTTATTTATGCATACAGAACTGGAGTACAGGCCAGAGGTGCAGAGGGTGAGAGGATTCACCAGAGACAGTGTGGGGAGCAGAACAGGCAGATATACTGTAATACAATGCTGAGGGGAGCAGCTGAGACAGGAGAGGTCTGCCGCAGCATGTGGGTCAGCTTCCTGGCCAGGAACCCAACTGGTGCTGCAGTGGCTGGATAGCTTCATAGTGCTACACTTTAACCTGTTGCACCTCCAGGGAGGGCCCTCTGAGGGTATGCATTTTTATGGCTCAGAAAAGGGAGGAAGAGGAAGCACAGGGAGTGACTCAAGGAGCCTTGGAGTCTCTTCAAAGAAACTCTGCTTCAACTGGGGAAACCACCGGCAGCATTTAAGCAAGAGAGTGACAGCTGTACATTTCAACAGGATCATTTGAACATTTGAGTGATGTGACAGAAAGTGAAAACGGTAGGACAGGTAGACAGTCAAGTCAGGAGACTACAGAGGTAATCCAGAAGGGAAGTGATGTCTTGAATTAAGTAGTGGCAGCAGGGATTAAAAAAAAAAAAAAAAAAAAAAAAGAATTGTTGCTAAACATTATATCTCATAAGCATAGTGTGAGTTAAAAAAAAAAAAAAAGAGCTACCACTACACATCTGTTAGAATGGCCAAAATCTAAAATACTGACAACACCAAATGAAAATATATTACTGAAGTAT